AAAGCCCCAAATCAACCCAAAAAACCCAAACTGAAAACAAAACAAAACAAACAAAAAAACCCCCAAAAGCCCAAGAGCAACCAAGCAAACAACCAAAAAAATCCCAACCCAATACTGTTCCTTCACTGCCAGCAAATGTCAACTATCATGACAACCTCGTGTTGTCTCTGTCTCCCAGTTGAACCTTGCTGTATTCCTTACTGGAAGATTATAATCACAAGTAAATTGCAGTCTTTCCCCTAGAAGTATGAAACAAGTTTACACACCTAAAACATGTCAGATTTTAATTCATACTGCATATATATCCAGTTTGCCACCCACAAAAATCTCTGCCTCACTGATACCATAGGGGGACAAAATGAAGTTTGGGGTGGTATCTACAAGCCTTCTATTTCCTAGCCTGACTGGTGACCTAAATAAAACTTTTCAGTATTAGGTTTTTCCAAGATGTAATTTATACTATGGCTGTCAGGAGTTAAGATAGTAGTTGCCATGGAGCTTTAATCTTTTTTTAGGCTTTAGTCAAAGGAAGCTGGAAATCAGTATGCTGGGTAGAACCCTGCTCAATAGAATTTTATTCAAATTGGGGCAGGATTTAATCCTAATTTTTCTGCTGAATGTTAGTATCAAAGGTTCTACAATTCATTCTATTTTCTTCTCTTCTTCAGGAGATGAAAGTTTCCTGTCCAGGTTCTTAAATCACTCTACATTCAACCCAAAAAGTACCCAAGTTTCTTCCCCTCTATTCGTTCAACTATAAACAGTAACTTTATTCTAATGTTAATGTGCACAGCTAATCACTGTAGTGAAATTCATTCACCAGTTCTTCCATTTTCAGTGGAGGCATTCTGTAAGTGTATGAAAGCAAAGCTTTAGGGAGGATTTTATTTTTCTATGCACACACTAATCTCTATACTGGAAAACACACCTTTGAAACAGAAATTAAAGTTTGAGTCTATGTCTGTGCTACTTATAACTCCCTTGATGTGTATTTGAGAAAAAGAACCCAAAAGCATACAATGCATGAAGTGCATCTCTGAGAAGTACAAGATTGGCCATGCTATAGCCAATAATGCCCTGCTGGAACGCAGCTGTAGCAGAACAGAAATGCAATTCAGTTTAATACCTGCAGTTAAAACATGCACTTAAAACTCAACTTGCCCACCAGGAAAATGAAAAGAATGTAAATCTAGGTGGAAAAAAATGAAGATTTTGTTAAAATGAGCTTTTAGAACTCTTCCCCACAAAAAAAATTAGAAAGGATTCAGATGAAATCTTGACCTTGAGACTTGGATTCAAAAGCAAATGACAGCTTCACTTAATGAAAAATTTCCCAGAATTTTCACTAAATACAACTATTTACTGCCCAGCTGTAGCAGCACTGCATAATCCTCAAGCTGTTCCAAAGACTGCAGAGTAATCAGAAAACTGTCACAGGAGAGAATTTCAAACTCCTTTCAACTCTTTCATGGCATGTATTATAAAAGAGGCAAGATAACAAGAAAAAAAAAAGTTTTCCCTTCTACGGTATTTAAGTGTGGGACTTGAACACTTGCACATTAACATCTGTTTCTACCACTGACAGCAAAGTGTCTTACCTAACTAGCACTGGACAGAGAAACAATTGTGGGTTTGAGTGAAATCCCTGCTCATCAACTTCAGATGATCAAATGCAAAGACCTGTGGTATATTTTTCAGTCTGAGGTGTCAATATCAAAGACTTGCAGAGCTACTGGAGACGAGACCTCTTAATAAAAGAAATATATATGCAGATAAGAGGGAGAAAGAACTCCACCCCGTAACTTGCTGGTATAGCCAAACAGCTCATGTTAAGTATGCATTCAGACAAACCACAGTAGTTTCCTTAAAGGTGAAGTTAGAGACTTTGAAGTTAAGAGTCTTCAAAGTTATGAAATGCCATCTTCTTTATAAAGGCCCATCTCAGCTCTAAAAGGATATCAGAAACAAAATCCTTATATGAATTCAGGGAAGAAAGGGGCATTTCCCTTACCTCCATTCTGAACTAGTTTCAAGGCCTGTCAGTATCACATTACCATTTCTGGATGCATAGATTTGTTAAAGTTTGGCAGGGAAATACAGTTAAAACTAGTTTAAATAAAGAAGTATTATCATAGTACTGCAGATATCAAGATGGCCTTACAATATAGATGGCAAGTATTAAATTGCTTGTTTTGTTTTCAAAACAGTATGCTTTCTCTTTTGTGTATTTGTATTTTGCTTTAAAGCTTATTTCGTCAAAATTAATTAAACCAGTCCACAGGACAGTGATCAAGAAACATTCTTGCTCCATTACAGTTTCTTTTAAATAGCCTGTAGGGACCTTTTGCTGCTGGCTGCTGAACTTGCATTACTTCAAAACTGAAAGGCAAAAACAAAGAACTTAGAAGTGCACCATTTTTTCAGAAGCTATAAGAAAACAAGATGTAACTAGGCTGAATTAGGATGCAGCATTAATTTTCAAAAGAGAAAGCAGCTAACTGTGTAATCACATATACTTCTATCAACTTCCAAAGTATGCATTGCCCAGAATAATTTTTTTTTTGCAAGACAGACTGACTTCATGAGATTCAATACATATCTTGAAGATGAACTGGTTTAACAGTATTTACTTTTCACTTTGACTTCATTAGCGAGGTTCATCCCTTTCAGAAAAGTAACTCAACATTAAGAAGCAACACAAGAAATCTCTACTTACCTTTCTGATTTCATACTAGTATCTTATGTGCATTCTTCAGCAATTACCACTGATCTTCTGTGGGAATGGATAGAAACCCACAAAATTTAGGTTTGGTTAAAAAAAAGTGGTGAAACGCTAAATGCCAGATAACATCAGATCTTTTCTCATGTGTGTCTCGACAATAAATCAGCTAGGGCATTTAAAATAAATAATTGCAGAAGCACCCAGTATATTTGAGGCATGCTGCTAATTTGCAATATAAACTGAACTATTGCTACATTTGAGCAATTTCATGTATTAGGCCAAGCAAGTGCCATTTCTCCAGCACTATCTTCACTGGAAGCCTTGAGAAATCCTATTCGCTACTAGAAGGGTCATTAGAATTAAAAAAAAAAAAAAAAAGCATCCCTGCAATAAAGATATTTATCTGGACCACTTTCAGAATCTAAAATTTCCTTTCTGTAACACCCCAACATACACTTCCCACTTCAGCAATTATTTCAGATGAACAATTATATAAGGCTCCCAGATTTCCTCTCTGCATTGGAAAGAAGTATTCTTGATTTATCCAGTACAAATTCAAGCAATAATTTTCCAGATAAATCAATAATATTAAGTTACAATTTCACTTGAACCTTGTTCTGCAACTTCAGTGCGTACTTTAGCAATGTTTGTTTTTTAATACTGAGGGAGCACATCCATTTTAGATAAGCAATAGATGTTCATATAATCCTCAGGCCAAGGCTTCCAATCAATCTTCTCAAGAAGGAAATTTGAGAATCCTTAAGCCATAACAAATAAAAGGAGTCAAATGTTCAGAAGACAACTTACTGCCACTTATCTCCAACAGCTGGTCTGGTCATTCTCCATGATCCAGCCATTGATCATTCTCCATGAACAATAGCCATGATCCAGCCTCTCAAGACTATTTTTGCAACCTGAGATCAGCCAGTAGGCCTGGAAAGCAAGGCAGGGATAAGTTTTACCCTCTATCCCTACCCTACTGAAGGTCAGAACCCTTACAGGAGTTTCCTGCAGGAGCTGTTTACTTACTGTGGTACAGGTCTCCCTACTGGAGCACTTCTCCACTTCATAAACATACAATTTTAGAGCAAAAATTCAAACCTCTGCCTTTACACTCCCCTGGTACAAATTAACTACTTGCAAATACTCAATCCTGCTAGGGAATCAGATCATACCTGAGGAAACAGACTTGGAATGTTACTTACCTTATAATACTGAGCATGCTGTGCATTGATTTGTGCCATCTGGTCTGACAGCACCGAGGCTTCGTGCCCTGCATGGCACGTTCCACCCTCAAGCCCCAGCTGGCACAGCCCTCTAGTGGAGATGCATGAAGGACTTCTGATGGCATTCATCCATCCCAGCTTGCTTTTGCTCATCTGCATGCCTTCTGGGCTGCTCTCAACTCAGCACAACTGCTTTCTAATCGGGCTTGGCCAGAGCTGGTGTCACTTTTCCCTCTGTGCTCTCAAGGGAAACCTTAGCAGCAAGGGACAGAGACCTACAGGGACTTCTGAGCACTTGCAGCCCACCCACAGGCAACCCCACAGCAAGCCCTGCAGAGCTGCTGCCTGCCTTGCCAAGCCCACCCCAATTCCAGTCTCAAGAGCACTGCTGAGCAGACCCCTAGGACTGAGCTTTGGTATCCCACTCATTTCTCCATTAGTATCTCCCATTGCAAAGGAGCAGCAACAGCTGTTTTTCATCTTTTCTTCACCTCCTTTAAGATACAGGGGTGAGGAAGTTCACTTTTAACTACCACCCAAGTAATGTCTAGATACTACCAGCATACTTCAGGACAATGCTCTTACATGCTTGTCAGAAACCTGCTGGGATTTGTCTATTGGCCCTGCACCATGCACACTTATGTTTTGTTTTTTTAATTATCTATCAACTTTTTATTGAAAGCTTTTGCCTTCAGGCTTTTTAGGTAGTTGCCCAAGTCCAAGAACTTTGGTGCTCTGTCTAAATACAGGTTTGGCCACATGCACACACAAATACTACTTAAGGAAGGGCAAAATTTACACCCCAGAGAATACCATTCATGTGTCAGTTCTCTACAGATCGATTATCATTAAGATTCCATCACATTTCCAGTTCCTGTTCCCTGAAATATTAAAATCCCTTCCTCTCAAGGGATCCTTCTACCACTTCAAGGCTTACAGAGAGATCATGTTAAATGACCATAAGGACCATATCAGGATGCTTGACAAAACCTAGTATCAAAAACTGAGTATACACCATAATTATATCATACCCAAAAACTGACTCCCAAGTATAGTCACAAAGACAAGAGTTTAATGTTGGCAAAAAAGAAAAGGTTAAGTTAGTGGTATTTTCTATTTTCTTCCTTGCAATAACATACTGGTCATATGAAAGTCACTGGAAAGGTCTGCTTATAGCTCGGAAGACTTTTACAGTTACAGCTCAATTCAAAACCCCTAATTCCAAATGCGTGATGTTAACACAAAAAATGAAAATGTAAAACTTGGGATAAAAAACAAACTCGGACGTTAAGATGCTAGCAGAGATGTGAGGCCTTTCAACCCCTTTACCATAACATGAAAATTTCTTCGGTATCTCTCCCACCACCATTATTTCAGGATTCACAAGGTTCTTTAAAATACTAATGGGGTTAAATTGAAATCAAGCGCCATCTGCTTGTAATGTCTTCTGTGAAAGGTCTGAAGCCACCCTGTTTCAATAATTTGGTTATTCAGTGCAGAAAGTTAAAGATCACAGAAGGTATAACAGCTTTTAATACTCCATTAATATTATAGATTAAAAATTATTGCATAGTCTTATGCATTTCCTAAAACAATGTTCTCTGGAAATGAAACATTTTAATATAAAAGGAGCAACTCTTTAAAACATAAACTGTTTTCACTACCTCGATCTCCTATCCTTTTTTGATTTGTCAGTACATTTGTCCATTGTTTTCTCATTGTCTCCTCTGCACTTGGGGCAATACCATTTCCCCTTTGGTTTGTACGTGAGTCCAACACAGGAAAAGTGGAACCACTCAATAGGGCACTGTTCATTGTCACATCCTATCATTTCACCATAAGACACTTGGTTGCATAAGCAGTAAGTTGGTTCATTGGGATCAATTGCAAATTCTACAGGTGAAACCTCTCTCTCCTGTTTGGCTTTGGAGCGTTTTTTCTTCTTGGAAGATTTCGATCTTTTCTCTTTCGGTGGCTGATCATCGCAGTCATCAATACCATTTGCTATGTGGCACAGGTCACGGCTTTCGCTGGTTCGCTGGCGGCGAGGTCTGCGGGAGGATCTCTCTGGCTGGCAGGACTCCATCTTGGCCTTTTCTAGAGGCTTTTCGTTCTCAGACATATCTTGAAAACACTGAGAGTGTGTTTCCATTTGACGGGCTCGATTCTCTACCAGTTCTAGCATCTGAGTCACTATTTGAATTTTTTCATCTCCAAGTTCTTGACTGTTGATTAATGCACGCTGAAGATGCTGCTGCAAGCGTTTCTTCTGAACAGGGTCGTTTTCTGACTTGTATTTTTCATAGACATCATCTATTTCTTTTAACGCTTCTATGAAATAAACAAAGGAATAATTACACAAGATGAAACATACTCTAGAAAACAGACAAATATTTCTAACTGATGAGAAATAGTACAAATCTTAATTATAGTATACCCTAGTGGGTTAGATTGAATATATAATTCAAGTGCATGTAGTCATCAAAGCAGTGTTTAAGGTCACTATATGTTTCAAGAAAAAATTCTCAGGTTCTAAGAAAAAGCAAGCTTATTTTAGCCATTGGAAAAAGAAAGGCTAACATAAGAGAGGGACACTATAGTTATTGAGGCATGGATAATCCAGATCCTCCTTCCATCTGAAACAGGAGGAATTTCTCTTAAGAGTCCTTACCACAGTAATTCCAAAACTCTGGACAACAAACCAAAGCAATAGCTTATTTTATCACACTAAGAATCCTGAAATTCGTAGAATTGTCACATATCATGATATATAACACTCCAGAAATAGTTTATCCAGGTCCTCTGCCTTTCCCTCTTATTCATCACAAGGTTTGGCATTACATTTTCAAGTAGACATAGTTATAAAAGGAATATGACAACAGAAGTTACATAATAGCAAATTTACAATCAGAATGAAAATCAACTTACACCCCTCAAAATAATTTCCCTAAAACAAATTACAGCAAGCTGCATTTTAAATTAGAGTTGAACTTTTCAGAATAGGTGACCTTCTCTTTAGTGCATCATAGGATATTTTTAAGCAACTAGTAAATGAGTGGCTCATAGTTTGATTTCCCAGCTTTCCCTCCTCCAAGTCACACAAAATAACTGCATGAGTTGCTGTGAATCTTCTGTTTAAAAAAAATTAATTCTAAGAAGCAAGCTTAATGAATCCGAATATGGAATCAATAAATGTCTTATAAATCACTCTTAGTCTGTACACCACTGTACTATATTGCTGGATTTTAAAATAATATTTTCCAAGCCAAATGTTACAATAGATCTACACATAAAGGACAGAGAAACTCCAAACAGGGAAGGAAATAATTAGAAAAACTGACAGTGAAGCTTGATGTACAGTGTTAGGTATGGTACTGGTTCAGTCAGAACTTAGGATTTTATTTGAACAGATAAGGGAGTTTATAAAAGGTACTAAACTATTTACTTCTAAGGCAAAAGTTATGTAGTACAATCTACCTCTTCCTAAAGACCTGCATTTAAATAATTTGCTTTCATTTTAAAATAATTTGTCTGCACTGTTGTGAAATGATTCAAGCTTGTTATCGCAACATCATTCCTAGTGATTTTTTCCTGCTGATATCTTGGAACAGTAGCTGAAGCATGAACAGCTGCTTTTTACTATAAATTCTGAAACCTGTATGACAACAGGAGCCAACTGCATTTTGTTCTGTTCCAGACTTTCACTAAGGTAAGATAAAAATCATTACTCTGCCTGTCCAGTAACTCAACCTGTATTTTCTCAATATGAGCATTCCAGCTACCTTTTAAACCAAAGGCTTTGCTTCCCTGAACCATCAGCTACATCACTTGCCTGTTGCCCTGGCAAGAGAAATACAATTTTTAAAAATCTTACTCTCTGCTCCTGAAAAGCACGGAGTAGGGTACTTGGTATGCTGTTGAACAAGAAAGGCATAAACAGAGTACAATATAGTACAGCCACACTATCGCCCACCCAGACTTCTTTTTTTGGAGGCAGGAGTGTAGGTACAGTTACACAGATTTCCTATACTGGGAATGCGCTACCCAGAACCATTCACAAACAATAGCCGTTGGCTCATTCATACTGTGACAGAGAACAACGTTCATCCTACACCCGTTATTGCCTGGAGGCAGCCTGTGAAGATATGCTGAACTTTACACGGATCAACATCCACTGAAGAGAGCAAAGAAGTTTTGAATTGACAAAGATGGAAATTTACCAAACTTCTTGTGAATCCCCAAAGATTAGACAAGGCATTCATACACCCTAATAAACAGTTCTGAAACCTCTGTTTAAAAAAAAAAGAACAAACCAAAAAAACACAAACAAAAAACTCCAACCCAAACCAGGGCCAAGTGTTCATTACAGATAATCTGATTAAGTTTGGTGGAGCTAAGAAAAGCTAAAACGATTTGTTTTCTAAGCACAAGAGTGACTTTTTCCCTACTCCACAGACCATCACTACCTTTTAAATTAGCTGAAATAATATGGCATTACTTTTACATTTTCAGACTTGGGTCTAAAATATTTTTATCCCATTTTCAGGGTTTTGAAGATTTTTTGTCGTTGTTTTTTTCAATAGTTGAAGGCATTGATTAAAACTAGCAACAAACTTATTATATGGCCCAGTACTGTATTAGTGGCTGGATAAATACATAGAGGAGATACAGTCTAAAGAAAATATTTAATCTATGAAAGGCTGAGGAGTGCTGGCTAGTCACCATGGATCAGGAGGTAAAGAGCCAGCCTTGACTAGGTATTCAAAATGCTGCAGGCAAGTCTATGCCATTTAAACTTTAAAATCCCAGACAACTTACAAAAGCCTGTTCTTATGTGTCTTCCCGGGTAATTAGAAAGATAATTGAAAGAATCCCTTCACAACAGCTGCCTCCTGAGGTGGCCCTTCAGTGTCTAAGAGGCCTTGACGGTCCCCATGGTCCCCCCTCCTGCCCACGCCGAAGGAAGGAGATGCGGCTCCAGCGCCGACTCCACGGGATCAAATTCCTGCCTCACGGCAGGGGCCGGCTGGCAGCTGCCGGGCACCGACGCGCCCCGCAAACTCCGCAGGGCGCAAGGTCTTTAATCGGCATTGAACCTGCCTTCCGAAGGAAGGTTTAGGGCATTCCTTTGGACGAGGTTTAGGGCAACTTCCCGCTCCACAGCCTCTCTCCACGACCCAAGAGAACGCTGCTAGCGCTTTACGTATCCCCGCCCCCACCGCGCGGTCTACCGTGGGACGGGCGCTGGGCTCCGCCGGGACACCGCCCCCCCCCCGGCTCCGCACGGCGGGAGGAGCTACGAGGAGGCCGATTTCCGCACCCCACCTCCAGCGGCACCGCCGCTGGTTCGGGCAGCACGGCTGCCCGGCGGGGCGGAGCGGGGCGGGAGCGGCCCCACACGGCGGAGCCGGGGCCTAGCGCCGGGCAGCGCGGCCCCGCCGCCCCGAGACGAGGCGGCCTTGCCCGGGACCGACCGGACGCCGGGAGCCCCGCGCCCCGCAGGCTCAGCCCCGCGGGGCCCCAGCAGGATTTCATCCCGACCCCGGCTCCTCCGCGCCGGGCGCATGTGCGGCGGGCTGGAGGCCGTCCCCTTTCCCCTCCTTCCCCGCCGCCCGGTGCCCCGCGGCGGCGCCCACCTTGGCACTGCGTGTCCATCTCCCGCAGCAGCGAGGCGTTGCGCTGGATGTCCAGCGGCAGCGATTCCACGCACTCCAGGTAGTCCTGCACGTAGAGCGAGAGCAGCCGGGCCCGCTCCCCGCCCGGCGCCGCCGGCCCCGCCACCAGCTGTGGCCCCGCCAGCATCATCCCCCCGCGCCAGCAGCACATCCGCCGCCGCCGCCGCGCCGCCCGCACCGGGCGCGGGGTCCTTGCGGCGCCCCCGCTCCCTTCTCCGTCTTCTCCCCCTCCTCCTGCCGCCGCCCCGTTGCCTTCGGGCGGCCGCGCCCGGGGGATGGTGAGCGCTCGCCGGGCCGGGCCGGGCAGGTGCGGACGCCCCTTCGCGGGGTCCCGCGCCCCTTCCCGCGGTGCCACCGCCGGAGCGAAACCCCTGCTCGGCGCCCCCGCCCCTGTTCGGAGCGCGCATGCGCGAGGCCCTGCCCTTATAAGGCGCGGCCGGCGGCGCTGCCAGGGGTTCGCATTCTCCCGCCTTCCCCAGGCGCGCGCTCCCGTTGGCCCGGCGCGCGGCGAGGGGCGGGAGCGCGCGCGGGGGCGGAGCCTCCCTTAAAGGCGCCCGGCGCCTCCGCCGCTTCCGCGCCCGGCGGGGCCGGGACCAGCGCGGGGAACCCCGCGGGAGGGAGGGGCAGCGCCGGCTGTTCCTGCCCGCAGTGACAGCCGCCTGGTTTATCCTTAAAGAACAGCAACGGTGATTTGTGATGCTTTATCCTGAGAAATCGTTTCAAGAGTATTTTAAATAAATTATCAATGAACTTTGGCCTTTTAAAAGCCACTCGCCAAATAGCAAATCTCTAAAATTTCCATGCAAAATTTCCAGTAATTCTCCATGCTCGTTGCAGAATTTGTGTCAAATGTTGGCCACTACAGTTATGGTAGGAAACAAAAGTTTAATTATACTTTTTGACTATACACTAAAATACCGAGATTTCATCTCCACTTCTCTTTGAGCCTTTTTTTTTTTCAGGTCTTTACTACATGAATAATAATTGGTAAGCATCAGGAAAATAAAATTTATTTTGTGGAGTCTTGAAACACCCTGAGGAGACTTGTATATTTTGCATTGCCTCATTTATATTTTAGGCATCCAAGAAAAAAAAACTAGAGAAAATGCATATGCTAAATGTAGCAAAAAACCAACCAAACAAAAACCATTCTTAGATGAATAAAATCGATAAGAAGAAATAAATCCAAATCCCCAGACCTCCTTCTGTCTTACATTCCTACCTCAAGTTAAGTACCCAGCACTAAAAGAATACCCATACTAATCCTGTAGATAGCCTTTCAGGATGGCATGATCTGGAGTAGTGGTGGAGCAGCAGCACAGGTTGTCCAGAGAAGCTGCATCATCTCCATCCTTGGATATTTTTCGAGTCTCCCTGGATGAGGCCTGACACAACCTCATCTGGCTGTCAAGCTGCCTCTGCTTTGGTGGCCCCCCAAGGATCCCATCCAGAATCCTTTTTTCCTGTGATTCAGTCTCTATGTGCTCTGTGCCAAAAAGCTCCATGGCTAGTCCTAGAGGAAAATTAGTGTCTCACATGATGGCAGTCTGCAAGTGTTTTTTTCTTAAGACCCTCGTTCACAGAGCTGTTTAAACATTCCTAACTTCCAAGTCACGCAGCCGCTAAGCAGGTGTTCTACATGGCAGGGATTTTCATATGTCTGTGTCCAAGCTGTTGAGTAATTGTAGCTGCAGTCAATCAGCTTTGCCCAAGTCAGCAATGTGTTGGCAAGGTCATAAAAATGAAAGAAAACAAAGTTGTAGGCAGTACTTTCAAAACATCCTTCACTACACTGATGTCACCCTGGCCAAAAAAACAGGAAGTCTGTAATTCTGTGTGTTCATGTTCTTAAGAGGGCACCTTCATCTTAAAATGAACAACTTTAATTTACAGTGTAACACCTGTAAAACCAGCTGCCTTTTTTTTTTTTTGCGTTAATGAAGCCTCAGATCATTTTTCACTACTTGTCTCACTTTTGCACAAATAGATTTAGAAAGTGGCAATAACGTGGTTACCTTGGCTTCCATTGACACTAACTCACTGCAACTTAACTGTGCAGCATTCATTGCTGTCCCTTCTGAGTAACTGAAGTAATTGAAGATTGAATTTTTTTTATATAATATTAACAGATAACACTTAATGTGCAGGCATAAACCGCTACCTGAATGCCAGTGAAAAGGACCTGGATTAATATAATCGATAGAATATTCTTGAGAAAAGTGTTGGCTCCTTTGGGGGGTTGTGTATCTGCTTATAGTAAGTTTGAATGGGTGTAACATTCTGCCATCTCATGAAGAAATAAAGCTAAGAAATAGGAGATTCCCCTACACAGTAGAAAAAATAAACCAGAAATGTTCATTCAAAGTTAACATGCTATTTAAAATAAAATTTAAAAAAATAAAATTTAAAATGAAATGTTAATTACTATTAAGTATGAATTTAAACCCAACATTTTGGCATAACTTTTTTCTCACATGAAACTGTGCATGCACTGTCAGTAAAGAAATAGCCAAGAAAATAATTCATAACATTTGTTACAGGTGGTTTCTATGCTAAAAGCTTGCTGTATGTCACTATGGGGGAAACAATATCTAAGGTACAGCAGAGAAGAGCTAATGATTTCTGAATGCAAGTGTTATCTGCTGCTTTCAAACACTAAAGTAAAAATTTAAATTTTGAGGAACCTTAAGAACGCAGCAGTGGCACTGGACCAGATTTCCCTTGGAAAAAGAAGCCTTAGCTTGCTGCATGTTTGAAGCCTCAGGGGAAAGGAAAGCAAGAAGGGCAGATTGAATTATCTGCTTTGCTCATGCCTCAAAATGGCTAGGAGCAAGCACAGGAGAATTTTGATGTATTGGGCTCAAGTTTGCAAATTGATAGATAGCTCTGAGACCCAACTATGTCCTTTTTCCACTGTCTGTATGTGAGAATAATCTAGAGATAGGAAGAGGCATGGTAGAGCAAAACCTTGCTAATTGTAGAGATGGACCGACAGAACAATCATACCTTTCCACCAACCCTCTCTGCTAAGTGGGAAACTGTCAGCTTGAGGTTGACATACACAGGGATGTGACATTAGGGTGTATTGCATCACATGTACCTCAGTAGCTGTCCACCAAGGGTAAGTAAAACAGAGAGGTCCTATATGCAGTTTATTTAGATTTATTTATATATCTCTAAACTAACCCCAGTTTCCATGGAGAATAGATTCCAACAGTTTTGTTTCTTTATAATTTACCAGTATAGGTTTTTAAAGTCCTAACCAGAGTATTCCCCTTCTTTTTGTGAGAGATTATTTCATTATGTTACAGATTTTACTATGATAAAAATATTTTCAGAGATTTAATCCAACTCTTATTTCCCCAATTGAAGTTTTGCCTCTCATCTTTCATAATCCTGATTTTACACTCTCAAAACGCAGATGATTCCTGTCCTGTTTCACATAATAATACATAAGTTGGTTAAGAGGTTTTTTTGTTTTCATTTTGGTTTGGTCTAGGTCTTTGGGTTGGGGCTTTTTGTTTGTTTGTTTGTTTAGCTTTGTTTTGGTTTGGGTTTTTTGTTTGATTCAGTTTGGTTTAGGGGTTTTGTTTGATTCAGTTTGGTTGGGGTTTTTTTTTTGTTTGGTTTGATTGGTTTTGTTTGGGGTTGGGTTTGGTTTTTTTCCCTTGCATTCTATTGATAAGCCAGAGAGTGTTTCAGGCTGTGGAAAAAGAAAAGCAGCATTATTGCTGAGGACAAGTCCATAGGGGGCTGTAATTGTGAAAGACCTTAGCATTTAGTAGAAATGCTCAAAGGATGACAACAGGGTATTTATTTTAAGCAAAATAACTGATTTTTGATGATATATATTTCCTGTCAGAAATGCTTCTCTGGCTTCCATGGGATGAAATGGATGAAGAATTATCTGGGATACCACAAAAATAAACAGATTAAAAAAGAATGAGTACAAGTCAGATGAGCTTCTTAAGAGTCAGCTGATGAAAGCTATAGACCATAGCAGAGTTCTGTACAAGCAATATTCTGGGAAGAGGCTATCCTTGCCAGAGATACTACTATGTTTGACCAGGTAAGCTATTCTCAAAAGCTTCTCTAACATCAGGTCATCCAAAACAGATACTTCACTGTAATGCCAGACATTGCTTTTTGTTTTCCTTAAATATTAGGCTTGATTTATCTGGTGGAATACAAATCATATTAATTCAATTACTATTTTTCTCTTTCATTTACACAAGTGTAGAATATTTAAGAATAAGACATGGAATGACATCAGATCATTTCAATAAAATGATAAACTAAACAATAGATTTCCTGAAAATATTGGTATGTGCTTTTTTCCCTGTTAGCTTCATCCTCAACTGTATGGAAGAGTTTTCTAGTACCAAGTAACAAATATCCCACACTCACCAGGAGATGTACGTTCTTCCTCATCCACAACATCTATTCTGTTTTCTTCCAATATGCTATAAAAGAAAATATCTTCCTGAACCTCACTTAGTAACCAGTTGACTTGTAGAGGGAACCACAATATCCTGCTATTTTTTCTTTAAGCAGATAGGTTCTGCTTATTTCACCATGAGCAGACTGAAAAAAAAGGAATAAAAAGTGCAGACTAAGTTTACTCCATGCTTTGTTTTGCAATAATTATTTATTTTTTTTTTACTGTTATTCACAGTCAGTTTCCATATTCGAATGCCACAGCAAAAAGTGTTTTGAGAAATTGGTAGGCCCAAGGCAGAACATGTTAAGAAGTTCACTTATATATGAGTTCATTGCTTTCATCAGGGCATATTGACATATTGTTACTCTGCTTTGAGTAGAACCACACCGCTCCTTTTTGAGGCTATCCACTCTGTTTGGAATACCTTCTGGGAATTAGCACAGGGGCTATGGAGCATGTTTGGCTGGCATAGGAACTGCAGTTTCTTAGACGAGGGGGACACAGCTGATCAGCTGAGGGGCAGCATCTGGCCACTGCAATGATAGCACCACATGGATCATTTCCTGTCATTGACAACATGGATCTGTCCACTTGTGCCTGAAGTAACACTTCCCTGTCTTTCTCTCCAGGAAGCTGCTTTCAGACAGTTACTCTTCTTCCTCAGCTACTGTTACAAAGCAGAAATGATCTGTGGATTTGGTTTCCAGCCCCAGAACCAATCACCGTGTGAAAAACCTCAGGAGGTGTGCAGATGATGTTTAGGGAAGCCAAGTTAGAAATGGTAACAAGGTAATCTTACTGCAAACCTAACAACCATCTTTCTTGTCTTATCTCAGCCCTGAAACCTGATTCTCTTTCATTCTAGTAAATGGAAGAATCCACACGAATTTAAGGGAAAAGAACCAAGACCCTTTTCCACATAATAAAGAAAGGATTTTTTCTGTGTTCTTACCTGAGGTACCTACTGACATGGATGCTCCATTTCTGTGATTTTACTTCTCAGCACAGGTCATGTGAAAGACACATTCTTACTTCTTCCTTTTATGAGGAACAAATATCCACAAGCACACCTTTGTAATCAAGATTATGAAATGAGGGCAGGCACTGTACCTGCAGAAAGTTTCAGTAGTTGATAGTTTAAGACATTCATAATACTCTCCCATATGCAGATGTTAATTTTTCTTTCCAGCTCAGGAAATAAAGGTGGGAGTCATATAACTAAATATGTGGAATGAGAGAGAATCTTAGTACAAATAGGTCTTGCTCTAAAAACGTCTGCATTGATTGTAAGGAGAGCCCAGGTCTCTTGTCACAGATGTCAGTGAAATTAATTCCACTCTGTATTCAAAAATGGGGTAATTACATGCCTATGATTACCATTTATG